TGGCATGTCTACAACATTCACACAGATTGTCTACATAGTCTAGATGCACCCTGATTGGTTCACTTACAGCAGCATTAGTTAGAACTGGCTATGGTAGCATACAACAGTCCTACACTAATCTGTCTGTGAGGTTAACAGTCCGTCAACCAACTAATCAAAGGTACAAAAGACAATGTAGCAGATGTATGATTGATGGGTATGGTTGTGTAAACAGTTGAGCACCAATTGGAACCTACCCTCCCCTCAATCTAACCATCCGAACAGCATCATTGAGCAGGCAGTGTCTTCGTGTGTATTTCGGCCCACCCCTGTGCCCAAGTTGTCACCGAGCAAGCCAGCCCAACCACTTTTATTTACCCTCATACGGCGACGAGCCTTCCTGTCCATGTGATCTGGCTGATCAGGAGGAATTTATAGAGCGCCCCCATCTCTTCAGGAATTATTTAATGTCGCAGTCAGGACGACGATCACAGCCAGATTCACAATGAACTCCCAACCAGAAATATTTATAGACGGTCTGGTGAGCGTTTGTCATGGGCTGGCACACCCGGAGCAACTTCTATCAGCGCAGCAAGTGCCAAACAGGACAGCAGCCATCGCATGCGTGTACTACTCCCTGTGGGTTGGTATGGTGACCGTGACCCAAGTGCTTCGACCAGGGCCCTTCAGAGGCACCGCCCTTTCTCCTTCCAGTATGCTTCCGGGAAGATTGTCGTCTCTCAAGGTAGCGCGCTTACGACACCTCACCAAAAGAGAGGACTCTCAAGTTGGACTCACTTCCTCACGGTAAGAAAGAGATTGAGAGAGTAGATAAGGTAAGGGAACAACGTACCTGGAGATAGCTGCCCCCAACCACAGATTTCTCACCAATTGAGCTGATGTTGCATTTGATGACCGGTCATGACCTCGGTACCACCCACAACGCAATGCAGTGCCACCTTAGTCCAATGCCACATCAGCATGCTCTCATCACCAATCAAACATTCCGCTGTATCCCACG